AATGGAGGAACTCTGTAAAAAATGGCTGTAATTCCTAAACGGTTAATGCAATATTTTTGTTAAACCCCTTGAATTAAAGCTGAAAGTCTACGCTTCAGTCACATCTTGACTGCTTCATTTCAAATCCACTGTGGTGGTGTACAGAGGTAAAATTACCAAAACTGTCTCACTGTCCCAATATTTATGGACCTGACTGTATATGTACATAATTTTTTTAAAAAATCACATGACTAAAAGGCTAGGGTTGAGGATCTTTATTGAGGATGAGAATACGTTGAAACGGATCTCCCTTGAGAATAAGAATTGCTCAAAATATTGATATTGCTCTCCACTAACGATAGGAATTGCTCAACGTGCTGATGCTGTACTCTGTTGAGGATGAGAATCACATGCACTGGACTGCATGTTAACAAAAGTGGCCATGTGTCTACCCTTACAGAAATGTCACACAAACTTCACATGTAATTACACGATTCTTATGAATTTTACTATTTCACAGCACTTGGCAGATGCCCTTATCCAGAGCAGCTTACATTTATCTAATTCATACAACTGCTTAAGGGCGCAGCAGTGGCAGCTTGGTGGTTCTGGGATTTGAATTCACAACCTTCCAATCAGTAGCCCAACACGGTCACAAGGCGATAAATTTGCGACATGGTCACAAGGCTATAAATTTGCTATTGGGTCTCGGCAAAGGAACGAGCAAACAGTAATACTTCTCTAGTTCCAAAGAAAAGCACCACTGGTAGAGAAGGTAGAACTTTATTTCTCCTGGACTTACCCAAACATGCCTCTTTGATTTCGGTCTTATCTGTACGTCGTATGATCTTCACCACAAAGATTACAGCCAGGGGGGTCAGGAACGATATAGCCTGCATGAGTAAACGGGAAAAGTCATCATGCCACAAGCTCTATTGCTGTCGTTGTTGTAATAAGCATATTTAAATTGTATTTAGGAATACTCCAATAAAAAGGCTCATTTTATCTGAATTATATGTCACTACTATGATTCATTATTACTAGCAACTGCTTCTCAGCTGTGGAAACTTGTGTGTATATCCATGGTCATTATTTAATCATCAATAATTCTAAACGAAAATGAATCTAGTCTCTTTCCAAGCTGAAAACAGATACTGAAAAATGATCATGTAAACAGCTGAAAATGGACTGAAAGATACTTGTTTGCTTTAGCTGTCACATGTGTAAGTGCAGTGTGTTTACTGTGGAAAAAAGAATGGTTATAACATATTAATAAAATCAGTAATAGATCCACTCCTTGGTATAAATACTCCTCAAACAATTCTTTCAACAGTGGCAGAAATCTATGCTGGATGTCTTCCAAAAAAAAGGATGAAGGGAATCTCTCATTAACTGCCATCTGCTGAAGCGTGATGGAAAGCAGTAGGTTCAGGTTCCAATGATCAGGGCATTCATGATTTCTACAGAGTGGCAATGATGTCTCAGACTTAAACTTCTCAGAGTTATATATTCACTCATTTTCCAGACAGGGTCGTGGGGTAGCCTGAAGCCTATCCCAGGGAGCTCAGGGCACAGGGCGGGGGACACCCTGGACGAGGTGCCAACCCATCGCAGGGAACAATCGCACACACTACGGACAATTTGGAAATGCCAATCAGTCTACAACACATCTCTTTAGACTGGGGGCGGAAACCGGAGTACCCAGAGGAAACCCCCAAAGCACGGGGAGAACATGCAAACTCCGCACACACAGGGCAGAGGCGGGATTCAAACCCCTAGCCCCAGAGGTGCGAGCCAACAGTGCTAACCACTAAGCCACTGTGCCCTCTCAAGTTTTACAGTTTAATCATAAAAGTTTATACATTTTAATAAAAAAAAAAAGTCTTGGATTATGAAGCATCCTGGATGCTTGTAGCAGATTGCTAAGAGCCTGTTGCTCATAATCCATAGTCTTAGTCTCTTAATTTATTTAGTCCTATCGGGTATAATAATGTATGAAACATATTGTGAATTAATAAACTTCTGAATTTACTGAAAGTGAATGTGGAGCCCGTACTACACATTATAAAATATAATTTTATAAAATATAATTTTACTTTTATGTTCCTAAATTTTATATTCCTAAATTAAATATATTTTATGATTTACAGCAATTCACATAGATATTTAATTAATATTTAATTTATATTTAATTTAATAAGCATTTGCTTTAGAATTATATACTAAGCTTATAAGTACAGCTTATAATTTTAAACCAAAATATCACCAGTTTTATCATTTT